GTTACATTGAGACGAATCGATTGAAACTTCAGTGACAATGGCGCCCCAGCCAATCCAAGAAAAATCGTGCGCATCCACGTAATACGAACACGTTCTCCCGCTCGGGAATTCCAAGAAATTAGTCGCAAAGCCGGGACGGAACGAGGCTCGCATCTACGCGGTTGCCTCATCCTCGTCCTCATCTTCATCCTCATCTGTGGCCGGCACGCCATCTCCCTCATTCTCCAACTCCTCAAACCCATCCGCGGGATCACACTGCCCCCCTTCCTCCTCCTCCTCCAACTTGTCGTCCGGCGCTCCCCGCTGCCTGTTCCACTCCGCCTCCGCGAGTCGATCGCGCCGCCCCGAATACTCCAACTCCTCCATCATCTCCTGCGCCATCGGGGGCGCGGCGAGGCCGTGAGATCAACGCGGTACTCGCGCTCGAGCTGGCCGCGGATCTGCAGGAGCGTGACATCAAAAACGCCGGCGCGCTGCTGGCGCACGAGGACGTCGTGCATCTTGCCGACTGCGCCGCGGTCGCCAGACGCCATCGCGCGGCGGCGCGCGATGAGAAACATTAGGCGCACTAAGTACGAGGGTTGACTAATTACGCCGGCGCATGGGTAGACTAAGAAGACAACGCACAGACTGGGTCCTGTATGCGGACGGAGCGCGTGTTGCCTGGTGTGGTGTCAAACTGTGGTTTGGTGCGGCGCACGCAAGTTGATGTTGGTGTAGTGTTGAAACAAATTCAAGAAATCCGCACAATCAGCATTGATTCTGAAACGCGTATTAAAAGAGGACTCACATGATAGTCCCTGGGGTATGAGTCCTTCTCGCTCAGGTACCATATCTGCCTCCACAGCGCGGGGCTGCGCATAAATCCTGCGTCGGGCGCGGGGCAGCCGATAAAACTCGCGGGCGTCTCGGGCGTCGGGTTACGAGCGCGGGGTCAAATCGGACGGCCTGCACCCCGCAGACCTTTTTGTGATCGCGCCAGTCGCGTTGTTGGCACTCGCTGCGAGATGTATGAATTTAATTGGCATATGAGCCGCGATGTACGCGCTGCGACCCACCTGGAGCAATACGTCATTAGCTTACGCCCGCTGCACTTCTTGAGGGTAATACCGTCCTCAGTCGACGTCGCGCCGCACGAATAGCACCCCCGCCCTGTTGGGACCGTTTTCTCTCGTCGTTTAGCGATATCTTGGGCGCGGGCTTGCCGGTCTGTACGCGAAGATATTATGCACCGCGGGGAGCGTATAATACGAGAAGAGACGTACATATGCTTCGAGGATACCGATGAGCGTCTGCACAATGTACAGGTTACGCTGCACGATTCGGAGATACTCGAACGCGCGCAGGTCCTCAAGGGCGCCGCTGTTAGGGTATTCCCTGGTGAAGCGGCTGTACTCGTGTTCGACCGCCGGATGGGGAAAGAGATAGAGCGATTTGACACGGAGGTTACCGGTGGGGTCGTGGGCGACGATCTCCTTCAGCTGCAAAAGAGCGGAAACAGGAGCATTGGCAAGGAAAGGCGGAGAAAAACGGTGGGATGCACGAGATTGATCAGATTGTATTCCCCGTCACCTACGAGGCTCAAGACCTTCGTCTCGGGACAGTCATGGCGACTTTCCTCGCGCGACTTGTATGCGGCACGGACTAGCCCATCGAGCACCAACTCCTTCTTCGTGTCTACGTCCAGCGCGGCCCACGCCACCTCAAAGTCGTTATCGACGAGCTGCTCGATCGCCATCGCCACGAGCTCCCCCTCCGCTTCCAACAACGCTTTGCTCCTCTCCACGATGTGTTGGTTGCAAAGGGGGAGATCCCCGAAGTACGCCAGGACCCCCACGTCGACGTTCTCTTTCTTCCAGGCTTCAATATCCGCGTCGGGGCCGTATTTCCGACTGAGAGAAATTTCGAAGTGAAAGTTCCAGTCCTCGGGGAACATCTCTTTGAGTGGGATTCCTAGTTCCTTCGGAGGCATGCGACGTTCCTCCACTAGCATATGATAGATCAGGGACTTGAGAACAGCCTCGGATGCCTCCCTGTCGTACGGCGACCGGTCACCGGCGTCCGCTGGCTCGGAATTCAGAGACGAAATGGTGGCGGCCCCTGCCTCGGAACCCGGAGACGACATGAGGATGGGAGAGAAATACTCGGGGATTTGAGGGGTAGGGCACTGGATGTACTCTCTGGAGGAGCAAGATGAAGAGAAAAAAGGAAGCACAGAGTTGTAGGCTGGTTGGACTTGTTAGGCATCCAAATAATCGCCTCGTGGCTGCTTCCTCAGATGAGTCTATGCATCTCACTTACGCAGTGTTACCGCGTCTACTCTTTGTGGATTTAATTCTGTTCAATAGACTTCTGCTCAAATCCAGGGATTCAAATGCTGAGCATTAAACCTTTAATTATTCAACTTTGGTTCAACCTCCGGTTTCGTTGCGGAACGAGGGAGAGAATCAGCATCACCTCCTACAACATGAGAGTGCCCTCACGGGTAGAGTCCATTTGGCAAGATGCGACATATATAGTCTTCGCATCCCGTCGGGAATTGTACAAAAAGGCAAACGGCCGGGAGTCAAAGGAGCCATATGAACACCAAGTTTGAATCTCGACTAAGTAGGGAGGGGTAGTACGACAGCAGCGATGAAATCTACGAAGAGACCACAAGTATTATCCATTAGTATCACTTTCTGGCATGCCGCGTTAGAGCAGTTGGCGTTTCCCACGTAATTGAAGGTGAAGAGCCCCTCGACACCATTGACCCCGGTCGGGAAGGGGTAGCTGCCGCAGGTAGTGCAGCCGTGGTTGACAAGGTCGGCCGCGAGCGGCTTGATATCCACTGCACCCAAGCCGCCCGAATTCTGCAGGAAGGCGCAGACGGCGCCGCTTCCTCCGATGAGCCAGATAACGTCGGCACACGCGATCTGGGCGCCGTTCTGATAACAGTTGAAGTCGGGGATTCCGTTGATTTAAATCGAGCGGGATGGGGGCCTGGTGGCGAGTCGCAGAAAGGCGCCCGGTGCTGCCGTTGCAGTCCTACGGGAGTGCGGTCGCAGCCGTGGAGGCGAGCACGACGAATGAGAGGACAGAGCTTCATTCTGGGCACACCGTCAGCAGAACGCCTCCCCAAATGCGCAAGGACTCACTTGAGCTTGAACCTTTGAGTTATTGTGTGTGGTAATGTGATTTTGTGCGTGCGGTTGGCTGAAATAATATCGTAGATTAGCACTTGGATTGAAGCGATGTGCCGAAGACTAATCAAGAAAGGGCAGAGGACTACTTTGTTCATCTCAGCCATTGCGCCTCACATTTTATACTGCCAGTCCAACCATCTACGTGCACAGAGTGCAGGGATGACCAACATCAGGTCCTGAATAAATACGATGGGAAATGCAACTTAAATTTTCAACCAGCGAATGAAGGGCTAGTATAGGACCCAGTTTTGGACCATGTACCACTGGGTCTTTACCGCCTTGAGTCAGTGCGGGATGACGCTGGAGCGGGATGACGCTGGAGCGGGATGACGCTGGAGCTGGGTTGTTGCGAGAAGTTGAAGTTGAAGTTAGGAGTTGTGATGGGATCATTGCTTTCATCAGGGGCTGTGATCCGAGTCCTCCCGCTCCTTCACACTCCCACTGCAGATTTCTGCTCTTGGTACCTCTCCTTTCTGACCCTGACGAGCACACAAAATGGAACAAATCATGAACCTCTCGATGGGCCTATCCATGTCAGCTCCACAAGTCTGAGTCTCACTGGCGCCAATGTTTCTGATTCACTCGGGCGGAATGCACTTGCTTCCGCGGCTCGAATCCTATAAAGCCTCCCTTGAATCCCCGCACTCTTCATCGCTCCTGACTGAAGTCGTTCTCCTTCAACGGCCCACCTCTCCCCCTCATCTCCTCATCCTCATCCTATCCTCTTCGCCCCGATGGCAACTCGTACCCACTATCGCACCGCGTCCGTCACCGCCGAGCACCCGAGCCGCCCCAAGCGTCTCTCCCTCGCCTCGCTCACGTCGCTCGACACCATCGGCTCCTACACCGGGTCGCGCATCTCCACCGACTCCCCCATCCTCATCACGACGACGGTGACGACCACGACCTCCACCTTCCCCGCGCCCGCGCTGCCCCCGTTCGCACCGTCGCTCGGGTCCGACGACCCGCTCCCCTGCCCGCGCCGCGGCGCCCCGCCCGTCGCTCCCGCGCGCATGCAGGAGGAGCGTGCCCCCAGGCGCAGCGTCCTGCGCAAGCTGTGCCGCGTACTCGGCCTCGAGCGCAAGGTGAGCGACCCCGCAGTGTGCGAGGGCTGGGACTAGACTGAATTAACATTGGACCCCTTCCTCCGTGAGTCCGTTCATGTCGTGTGTTCCGCCCAGGCTAACGCACCCCGCGCACAGTTACACGCATACTTGAAAATCCCAGTCCTGCCTCATTCAATCATCTACACTAATACTCCCACTGCTACATTGTCCTCCATCGCTCTCCTGCACTATGTCCTCAATCGCTCTGGTACCATGTACATATGCTTTCTCGCCCTGTATGTAATATATATCGCGCTCTCGTCGCAATTACACTTTCAAACGTCTGTGATTCCATGGACCACAGAAATCGGCAGCGCAACTGTCGTATTGCGCGTTGGATCTACAGCGTTCACGCGGCTTTGATAAATCGAACGGATGGTCTGCACCTGCACTCGGTTCTTCTAGGATTCACGTCTTCACAGTGCTAGCTCCTTACAATTTGAATGGAGCGCGGGCCATTCTTATTGGTGTTCTGCTTTTTCAGTTCAAATTTCTCCAGTTGAGTTCCATGCATGTAATGAATTCAGCAGGTAACGGAACAATGCTCGGGAGATTGTTTCTGCGTCTGCCCTCGATGTCGACAGATCGCCGCAAGTTTGCAACACTCACTCGGTCGAATCGAGCCCGGACCATGAGTCGAGAATCTTCGTTTTTTGTCGCGCAGGCCGGAATGAGGCTGGTTTACTCGGGTTGATATACACCAGAACAAGTCCCGGTAGCGGATGGTCCGTACCTGCTCCCAATTACTGGAATATTCGGATCCATTGCGCAGCATTCGCTCGTTCGAATCGAGCCCGGGCCGTCCGCGAAGAAAGAGGAACTACTCTCTTTATCTTTATCGCGCAGACCTCGGACATATGGCCGAAATCTAGACGGCACGAACATGTCAGGCGCCTGACAAGACATTACTGTAAACACAGCGCGCTTATTGCTTCGGCAGTTCTCAAGATTGACTCATAGCCATATGAATCGGTCCATAGGAGAGGCGTGCAAGGAGAATTGTGTGTGTCCCTCAGAGATAATATTCAACGCTCATGCCGTTTCTCTATTCAACAGCCATGCAACCAGCGCATTAACTGCCAAGACGCAAGGAATGGGTTTTCTCAACAACCAATTTATTTTTGACATGGAATCATATCCGGTACTGTGTAACGGACTTATATCCGACGTGGCTTGAAGGCGGGCTTGTGGGGACAACTGTGGTTGGGAGTTCTCGTTAGATTTTCATACCTTATGATGGGTGGAGAACCTACCAGCTTCCTCTAAAGTGGGGTGCATCCATCGCCTTGACCATTGTCGACACAACACGTGATATAAGTGTCTCTGTCCTGGAGGAAACAGGACAACTGACAGGAACGCGGAGATTAGTTGGGAATTCGCGAACGGTAGTTTGCATTTAGATGTGACTCTTACCGCGGTCAATTCGTGCCCCCCCGCTTCAGAGCAGCACGAGAGCGTGAGACTGCTGGACACAACTCCATTCGTCTCGCAATCACACAACCAGTTTTGCGCGAGAACGTGGGCCGAATTGTAGAGGAGGGTGAAGAGAGCGAACATGCGGAACGATTGCATATTGAATGAAGTTGGAAGAACCCGCCCGGCTGCTTTATATTTCCACTACTTATGTAATTCCAGCCATCTCCGAGTCCATACTCGGTTTTATCCCCAGGCATTTCGAGAGTCGGCGTTGCCCGCTTGGGTCTCCCCCGGCCGGTTTGCATTTCTCGCCCTTGGTCTGTCTTATGTCGTACATTAATTCTCCCGCCGCCGGTGATGACTTGAAAAAAGCCCGTAACAAGGCTTTTACTCAACTGCGTTCCTCAATGTTCTTAGGGGGTGCAAACTTGAATTCATGGTGGGATGATCGGCGGTGTTTCTCCGGTGAGGGAGCGGAGTCCTTGCTCGAAGGCACACATACCGTCGTCATGTAGAATGACCGCGGGTTTACGTTCAAGTTCAATTGTACCCGGCCAAAATGAGCCCGATTGTGCCTTCGGCGGTCTTACTAAAGGCCCACGTTCAATTCATTATTCACATGTACATAAAGCGCCGAGGCCGACGCTCTAAATAGCAGTTTGTCGTGGTTCAACTTCGGAGTACCGCAAAGATGCAAAGATGGTCTTGGGTTCGATGAGGTCGGCGGTCTTTCTTACTAAAGGTCACGCGGCCATGGCTGACTTTACATAAGGCCGCGAGGCCGACGCTGCAAATAGCAATTTGCCGTGGTTCAAGTTCGGAATACCGCAAAGATTGCCTTGGGTTTGATGAGGTCCAACCTATGAACGCCGGTGGGTGTCCCAAACTTCTTTCCGCTGAGCTCTCAGACCCGGCCTTCGGCCGAGACATTCAACTCATCGCGGGACAATCAAAAGAAGCTGCGAAACAAAAGAAGTTAGCACATCAGCTCGGGTAAGTCCCTCAAATACTCAAAACGAAATACTTCAAATTGAACTTGATAATTCGCAGTAATGTTCGGTTTAGTTTAGGATTGACAAGCGTAGTCTCGCGGCCTTTTTAGTCAAACATTAATGTAAAATGAGACATGGCCCTGCTAGTATGTAAGACTGCCGACATCATCATTGGGGACTAAACATTCACAGCTGAGCATGACTGGTGGGATGACCGGCGGCGTCTGTCATGCTTTGAACCAAAGATGAGGCTGCGGCATCATCTGCCCATCGTTAGAAATCAACATTGCAACAGTGGTCCCACCTGGATCCGGCGGGGTGGCGGTGGCCCGTGGAGCTCGCACACATACAGTTGTCATGTTCGGGTTCCGAACAGTAGCGAGATTCTCTTGGGTTTGACCAAAATGAGGACGACCGCTGAAATAGTTGGGTAATATTCAACTCCCATTGAAGACCCTATTATGGGCCTTTTTGTTTTGAAGGTATCTGCAACCACGGGGCAGGGATGCATGCGCGCGCGACAGAAGGCAGATCGAGAGTGGGAAATACAAAGCGGCCGGAGAGATTGAGGATCACGAGAGCGGTATTAAACGACCTAATCAAATTGGACAACGCAGCCTCTTGAAATACTTGGGGATAAAACCAATTATAAGAATAGCTGGAATGACATAAGTACTGGGAGTATAAAGGCGGATGGCGGCTTCCTGCAACCTCAGTCAAGATGCAAACATTCCACTTTTTCGCTCTCTTCACCCTCTTCTACAATTCGGCGCAAGTTTTGGCGACGAACTGGGAGTGCGATTGCGAGACCAATGGAGTTGTATTCGACGATCTATCAAACCAGTGCTGCTCAGCATTATCTGGCGGGGTAACGGGCGGGGTGAGATTTCCTTGTGTATGCAAACCACCGTCTACTAACCGCTAGCCTTTCAGTCCGGCCCACCCTGTTCTGTGACGGATGATGGCAGAGCGAGTTTCATTCAGTGTTGTGTCAACAATGGCCAAGGCGATGGGTGCACCCCAGTGTAGAGGAAAGAGGAAACTTGTACGTTCCCTTCATCCAGGTCATATGTCATGATAGGCTGACGAGAGTCCTCAGGTAAAGTGACTCTCCTGACATGCCCGCTTTTCCAGCCACGTCAAATATAATTCGCTACGCAGTACCAGATATGGATTCAGTGTCAGAAATAAACTTGTTGAGAAAACCTGTGTGACAGTTTACGCACTCTGTGCATGGCTGCTGCATAGACAGATAAAAACAGAAGAGCTGAGAATTGTCTCTGACATTCACGCGTGATGTGTTCATGCCGTGTCTGTAGAACACGGGAGCGGGCTCGTGTCACTGTTCAATATCGAGACCCGCAGAAGCAATAAGCTCGCTGTGTTTTTCTAACTGCGTCTCGGGCGTATCGCTGGGGAGCGTTGGGTGAGCAACGACACAAACAGCCCGGGATGAGCGGCACGGGATATCCCGGACGGCACGGCATCAGTACGGCCATCACTGATCAGTCCTTCGGCGCCTTTCCCCGTCGTCCGCCGTCTTCGCCGCTTGCAAGGTGCGTGATCTCCCTTTCGCTTGCTCACATCGAGTCATTGTTTACCCACGCACATGCACGTCAAGGTGAACGGTCTCTGTAGCTGCCTTTCTCTTCCTCGTTTTGCCGAATTGAATTAGAAAACTACGTACTCTTGTGGATCTAATTGAGAATGAGTGAGAAGGTTAAAGATAAATATTATTGGGCTGCGAGTGAAATTGCAGCACCGTTAATACGAGTTCGATGGGGCTCATAGCAAGAGATCTTGAAGTTGGCGGTGAATTTAGCGCACCAAATAGCAAATCGCCGTGGTTCAATTTCGCTATACCGCAAATGTAGCCTTGGGTTCGATGCGGTGTGCAGCTGTCCGGGGACAGCGCGCGTTGACGGTGATTAATTCCGTTGATCTCTGAGTAGATGCACCTTGATTTCTTCATTCTGCGCTGCAAATGATGATGAATAAGTTATGAAAAAGATTGGCACTGAGATACAGCTGTTTGAACTGGTTCCGGAGTGGAGGGGGGGGGGTGGATTTATTATACTCGCGAGGTCCACAAGATGACAATCGCGATTTCAGCGGGTATTCGAAACGCTGACCCAGCCGAAACTGTCCTGCGAGTGTCTGAGACATTTCCTCCAGGGAGAGAAGATGTGCCTGACTGTCGGCAGTGATATGATCCTGTACCCACTTCACTTTGAATAACCATCAGCAATGTCTCACAGTGGGACTGATACTGTCTTTAAGGAACATCGACACGCTTTTGGTGGGGTAATTGTTTCGGAAGTTCGCAATATTGATTAATAACATGGGATACTTCTCCTACAGACAGATCATGCAGGGGAGGCGTGCAAGGAGAACTATTGATCCCAAGGGACATTTTTCACCTCTTATGCCTTTCTTCTCTCTATTCAGCAGCCCTTCGACGAGGGCGGGAACTGCCACATCACAAGAAAAGGGGTTTTCCAACACGTTTATTTCCCACACGGAACGGTACATGCTAGTTATATTTGACGTGGCGTGGAAACAGGCATTTCAGGACAAATTTCCTGGGAGTTCTTCAAGAGTTCTTGTCATCTTATCATGATCTATAATGAGGGAGCGAAGAACCTACGAGCGTCCTCTAATTTGGGGTGCACCCATCACCTTGACCGGCGTCGATACAGCACTGCTGGAAAGAGGCTCTCTCCACCTCAGTCAAAGCACAGGCTGCTTTCGGCGGGCCCTGAAAGAGAAGCGACGGTTAGCCAATGGTAGTTTACATGTGAATGTAAATCGTACTTCGCCAGCCGCTCCTGGGCAACACAGGCTCGTAAGATCTTCGAAGACAACTCCATTGGTTTCGCAATCGCACAACCAGTTTTGCGCGAGAACAGGGGAGAAGAGGCCGAAGAGAGCGAGCAGGTGGAATGTTTGCATGTTGACTAAAGTTGCAGGAATGCCCCGTCTGCTCTTATATTTCCAGTACTTATGTAATTCCAGCCATCGCCATAGTCGGTTTTATCCCCAGGCATTTCGAGAGTCGGCGTTGCCCGCTCCAATCTCCGCGGTTGCCTTGGTCAGATCTGTCTTCTGTCTCCCGCCGCCGATGACGACTTGAGAAAAAAAGCCCGTAACAAGGCTGCTTGCAAGCACACATACGACAGTCATGTTCGGCGAATGGCAGCAAGATTGCCAACGTTGTGCCCGACAATTCATTTCGTTTCGGTGGGAATCCGTGTGAGGATCAGCGGTGTTTCTCCAGCGAGGGAGCGGAGTATTTGCTCGCAGGCACATAAACGGCTTGCATGTGGCCGTCATGTTCGGCGAATGGCGGCGGGATTAATGAGCCCGATTATACCTTCGGCGGTCTTACTAAAGG